TACTCGTCGCTTCGGAGAAGCAATTAAGTAATGAAGTTACACCGCGAGAGTAAATGGCGAACATATTATTACACTTGCCGCATAAATCACGTGCCATAAATTTGCACGTGAATCTTAGACGTTGCTAAAATTAATATAGTTTTCAACGACGGCGTAAATAGTCTTTCGGCGATAGTCGTGTAAACAAAAGAAAAATTACGATACCACGAGCGCAATGTGTAGCAAGATTCACGAGAAATCTTCGTTATTGGAGAAAATTTCGAGATTTAGTAATCTCACGACTTAAAGAGCCGTGCAGAAAAGATTGGTGAGATATCTCGCTCCGAAAATAACTCCGGCAGTATCAGTCGGGGAAGACGGTTGAAACGTGTGAGAGAATGAACCACGACCGAAATGAGATAAATCGAGCAGCGGGTATACGTGACACCTCGACGTTGTTATTTTCGCGCGACGATTTGCGCGAAAAGTACGCGAGAGAGTGTTTCTCTCGCCGCGCGCTCTTTTGTCGATTGCTTGCCGAATAATGGAGCGTCACGCTCGGCCATCCCCTTGAATATCGGCGAAATCGGAAAAGAAACCGTCACCGCGCAAATCGGCGTACGTGCATGCGCGCGTCGAGATAAATTCCTGCGGTGTTCGGGCCCGCGCCCGATCGGGGAAGAGCTGCTGAGCGAGATTGTCCTCGCCTGAAGCCATCGAGAGCGGCCGTCCATTTTCGTTGGAATCCCGGCGCGGGATTCCCCGAGAAAACGCCGGGCCACATCACATCACCGCCGATAGCACAAGATATTCGCGAGATATCGAGTACTGGACGCCCACGCATCGAATCTCCGTTATTCGCGCGCGTCCACCTCGTCCTAGACATCGATTCCTCGGCAATACGCGAAATACGATGACGATCGCGCGCTGAGCAAAGGAGGCTCTGGCTGGATTAAACAAATTTATGGTGAAATGTGAACAAACCAGAAAATCCAGCTCAAGTTATCAGAGTTCGGTTCGAGTTAACGAGGTCCTTGGTTAACTGGAACAGAATTCTGGTAATTTCAACCGGAATTTTTTGGTTCGTTCATATTTCATCGAAAAAATTTGCTTGAGCCAATCCGACGTTTTCCTCCGTGTTTTAATATTTTCATCATCAAATATTATATCAAATAGTCATGCGTTGACCCTTCAACTGATATACCTGGGAAAATTTCATGCTGAAATATGACATCCTTTTTGACTTCCTCAAACTACTATATTTTTTTCTTAACACCTGGCAGTTATAAATCAGATATATTTTGTATTTCATTCCTTAAAATTTAGAGAAAGGAAATTTAGATATGCTCATTGAAAAAAAAAGAACAACCCCAGATGGAATCGCGCAGTCATTTTGAATCATCACTAGAGATATTGATATTTTCATCAGGGTATATTTATCGCAATTTAATTAACGACAGAGTTCTAATGACCAAGGAGTCATTAGGACTAATCGTTCGGGAAATAGGCGAATCGTAAGATTATTTAAATGCGATATCGAAAGTAGCGAAATGATGCAAGTTGAAATATACGTCTATTTCGACGCGTGTTATCGCGTACTCACTCGTGAGTGAGTGAGTGAATGAGTGTGTGTGAAAGAGAGAAAGAGAGAGAGAGAGAGAGTGTGTGTGTGTGTGTGTGTGTGTGTGTG